CTAAAAATAATAATTCCACTTACCTAGCTATACTTCTTCTAGGCATCTTTCCAGAAGTTAAAGTTATGATAATATAGTGACACATAAATACCCATGTTTATAGCAACACAACTCACAATACCTATATCTTGAAAACAACCTATATGTGCATCAACCGATGAATAGATAAAGAGAATGTGGTATAATATATGGAATGGAGTACTACTCAGCCAGAAAGAAGAATAACTGAGTTATTTGTAGAAAAAAAGGATGCACCTTGAGACCATATGCTAAGTGAATTAAATCAGCCACAGAAGGATAAATATCACATGGTTTCTCCTACATGAGAAACTCAAAGTAGAAAAAACTGAAAAAGGAATGTTAAAGAGAGTTAATAGGAGCCAGGGATTAAGCTCAATGGTTCCACTGCCTGGTACCAAAAAAAAAAAAGAGAGATAACAGAAAACAGGGAGGTAGACCTTTTGTAGATGGGAAAGGGATCAAGGGATGGAGGGCAATGAGAGGGAGTGTAGGAGAAGAGGTAATAAAATGGCCCAAGATGTGTTATGTATATGTACCACTTCCCCATGAATAATGCATTCATTATGTATGGCATACAACTACTAATAGAAAACAAAATAAATGCCCTGGTTATCTTCTAAATATTCCAGTATTTTCTGAGATAAGATGTCTTTCTGGTATTTATGTATTATTGTCCGTCATGGTAAGAGGATTAATTTATTAATTTCAATATTTTTAATTTGTTAAGGTTTGTTTTATGGCCTAGATTATGCCTTATCTTGGTGATTGCTCCAAATGCCATTGAAAAGAATGTGTTCTCTATTGTTTTGAGGTAAAATGTTCTATAAATGTCAATGCTGAGGAGTTACACTAAAGACATTCTTTACATTGCTATGCTAGAATAGTGGACCTCCTATCCTTGTATCATTTTACATGATGCCAATGCTAAGTACAAACCATTTCAGTTGGATAAGGATGAAAAATCTATGCCTCCTTATGATGGGAATTACAGTATCCCAATTTTTTTTTTGAGATAATGAAAACTGAACCCAGGGCAAGCATTCTATCAGGGAGTTACAATCCCAAGCCTAGCAGGTTAATTTTTTGAGTTCTAACTGTGAACTATTAATTCAAAACATTAGAGGTATGCATTCATAAAAGTTCTCATGAAACAACCAGTATGATTAACAATACCACCTAGATTTTCTTATAGTAGAGAATAAACTTTGAGACCTTCAAAAACAGAATTTACATTGCTGTGTTTCTAGTAATTCAAATATTCCATGGCACAGAAGAGAAACATAATATATGTTGGAGGAGTAAAGGAATTACATAATAGAATTCCTCAAATACTTATTCTTCTAGCACCTAAATAACTATAATTCAATTTTAATAATTGAGGATGACTTCTACTAGGACATGGAAATGTCAAATTTCCATCCAAAAATTAAGCAAGCAAATGCTCAATAAAAATTTCATGTTTCAAATAGGCTTTACTCCATTTCTTCACAAAACCTGCCTCAAGGACATAGATGTGCAAAATATAGTGGTTGAGTAATTTTCATAGGGAGATCACAACATTGTTTATGATTTGCATATTTCCATCTGAAATTTTTGGAGTCATGGGTCTATATCTGGGGGAGATAACTACCTTAACAGATGACAGCTGGCCAGAAATATTTAATCAAAGACATTGAGGTATTTTTAAAACAGCTAACCTAAGAAGTTTTTGTGTGAGCTAGTTTGGGGCTTTTGCTGGCAGAATCTATCCTGATTAAAATTAGACTCGGCTATATTATTGCTTTAATAGAAATCAACCCAATATGATTCAGGAATATAGACCTGTTCAGATTATTCTCTACATTCCAAAATATTCACCAGGAGGGTTCAGTTCCCTGCAAACCAAAACATGTTAAACAACAGCCAAACTAGTTGTGCTAATTATTTTCTTGTATTTTATTTGGAATACTCAAAATCAAGGGGATTAAAAAAAAAACCAAAGAAACTGTTAAGGATATGAATAGATTACAGGAAAGAATACAGCCCTTAAACATATGAAATGATAGTCCATTCACCGTAAGGGACATATTAATTTAAGCCACTCTTAGAGTAAAGGCAAAGGGCCTAGTATAGCTAAAGAATTTTTAAAAAAAGAACAAAATTGGAAGACTTACATTATATGATTTCAGGTCTTAATATAAAGCTACAGTAATATAAACAATGTGGCACTGGTTTAAGGATAATAAAATACATAAATAGAATTAATAGTACAGAAATAGATCCATTCATATATAAATATTTGATTTGCCACAGATTTTAAAGTAATACAATGGAGTGAAGGCTGTTTTAGACATATGATACTGAAAAAAATATTTGAAGTGGATGATGGTTTTAAACATGGAAATTTTTAAACTGTAAAGTTTATAAAATAGAAAACAATCTCATGTCAGTGTTGAGCTAGGTAAATGTTTCTTAGACAAGACACAGAAAATTGTAATTAGAAGTACAAAATTTTATGGATACAACTTCAATAAAATTAAAATGTTTTCATCAACATACACTAAAAAATGAAAGGACAAATCACATAGGGATAAAATACTCATACACATACATCTGAGAAGGGACTAGTATGCAAGATATATAAGAGCACTTACTTCTTGACAAAAAAAATGAGAAACAGCCCTTTTAAAATGGACAAAATATTTGAACACGTAAATAGTGCACAGTGATTAAAAAAAGAGTTCAATATTATTAGTCATCAGAAAAACGTAAATTAAAACTACAATATGATATCACCATACATTTACCAAAATTCTAATATTGGGGAGAATGTAGAACAATTAAAACTTTCGTATCATACTGATGTGAATTTAAAATGGTGCATCCATTTTGGAAAAAGGCCTAGTAATTTATTATATAACTAAGCATATATCTATCTTATGACTCAACAGTTTTACTCTTACTTATTTATTCAAGCAAAATGACAGCAGATATCCATTAAAACATTTATAAAAAGTTGCTCTTAACAGCTTCATGCATAATAATCAAAAACTTGACAAAGCTCAGGTGTCCATGGTATATTCGTTTCACCGAAAGGTAAGAACTGCCGATCAACATAATATGGATAATATAAGAAACATATGCTTCATGAAAGAAATCTTACAAAGAATGTATATAACATGATTCAATCTCTAAGGAGTCCTAGAATGGGTAGAATAAATTATGATAAATAAATTATAAGTATAGTTGCCAATGTGGACACTAGATTAGGAAGTGACTAGAAAAAAACCATAAATTTTTTTTCCGGATGATATCATTTTCTCTTTTTCCTTTTCTTCTTCCCTCTCTTTTGTCCTTCTCTCCCTCCCAACCTCCCTCCCTTTTTCCTCTTTCTTTTTTTCCATAGTGTTGGGTGCTGAACCCAGGAATGCTAGGCATTCTACTGCTGACCTATATCCGAAGCCTTGGGGTAATATCCTGATAACAGTTTGGGTTACACAAGTGTTTGCATATGTCAAAATCCAGCAAATGTACCCTTAAGATGTGCACATCTCATTTAATATGCATTCTATATTTTAAAAGCTATGGACCTCTAGTTATGATATGAGTGCTGAAGTATTTAGGGACAAGTATACTGTTGTTGCAATTTATTTGGTAACATATAAAAAAGGAAATCCATGAATAGAGAGAATAGATGAAAAGATATGTGGCAAAATATGTACAGTAAAACATTACAGTAGAATATCAGTGATGGATATATAGTAGTCACTGTAATGTTTTATACTTTGCAGTATACATGGATTTTTTTTTTTCTGGTGCTGAGGACTGAATCCAAGGCCTTGAGCATATTAGGCAAGTGCTCTAGCAATGAACTATATCCCTGGCTCATATATTTGGAATTAAAAAAAAATAAAACATTGTCAGGGGCACAAAATGTTAAGTGTAGAATCTAGGTAGTAAATACATAACTTCGTTGTTCAATTATTTGAAATTTTTCACAATAAAATTATTTTTAAGCTATACTAAGTAACCTGTTTGCTTCCATCAAGCTAAAAAAACTCCAGGAGTTTTTCAGTATAAACACTTAGCAAGACTTTGGGGAAATTGGCACATTCATACGTTGCTGGTGAAAGTATAAAATGGTACAAATGGAGAGGAGTCTGAATATCTTAAGGATACATTTATCCTTTACTCAGAAAATCCATTTTCATTACTTCATTCTACTATTGTACCTGTAAACATCTGAAATAATGTGAATGAAAGATTATTCTTTGTGGCATTATTTATAATAAGATTGGCAAAAAAAAATCCACACTAGTAACTAGCAACTGGTAAAATAAACTAAAATATAACCATGCTATTCAATACTAAGTCACTTTTTTTGGTTGGGAGAGGTTTGAGACAAGGTCTCGCTATGTAGTTCAGGCTGGCATTGAACTCACTATGTAGCCCTGGCTGACCTTGAATTCCCAGGGATTCTCCTGCCTCAACCTCTAGAGTACTGGGATTACAGGCATGTGCCACCATGCCTGGCTTCTAGGTATCATTTTTTTAAATAAAGACTTTTATATATTAATGTGGGGTAATCTCTAAGATATAAAGTTAAGTGAAAGAAGCAAAATGCAAAAAGGCCAAAAGGTAACTTACCCTTTCCCAATTTTTTTAAGAAATGAAAAAAAAAAAAAAAAAATATATATATATATATATTTGTATTGGCTAGTATTTTTTCTTCACAAAGAAACACTGAAAGGATAAATAAAAAATATGGGGATGAAGAGGAAGTAATACCTCTCATTGTTACTTTTTTACATATACCTTTGTATTATGTACCCAATGAAATAAAGGATAAATGTAATCAATGAAAGATGAAGAGTGTAACCATGACAGAAAGGTAGCATGAGCTTCTCAGCTAATTGGGCTTATCACCCACAAGTTTTCCCAAAGATTTCAATTTCTATAAAAGTTAAAAGCAAATTGAAAAGCAGCAATAGTCTCCATACCTTTAGGTCCAGGTAGCCCATTCAAGCCAGTGCGTCCTGGAGGACCTGGAGGTCCTGGGAAACCACGATCACCTTTTGGACCAAGTGTTCCTTTGAAACCTGGAAGTCCTGGTGGCCCAGGTGGCCCAGGTAACCCAAATCCTGGCTCTCCCTTAGGCACACACATGACAAACACAATAAAAACTCCTATGACTTTTTCTGGCACTTACTGTTTACTATGAAGGATTTAAAGCAGAAAATACAAGGTAATACTTTTTCTTCATGGGGAGAAGAGCAGGATAATTAAATAAGATAACTGGTATGTCAGAGAGAACATCTTAAAGGGTGGGAAACAGGGCTTAATAAAACAAATTACATGAGTTGGACTGATTTCAGAATAAGAAAGAGACAACACAGAGAGAATGTGATTAAATAATAGTCTATCCAAGTGAAGACATGATTATAGACCAAATATTAAATAATCCCAAATGATGATTTTTAATTTGACTAAGTACGATCGTGGCTTTGTGATTTTGTATAAAATGTCCACTTACTTATATATGAATATGAATACTAAAGCACTTGGGAGAAATGGCATAATTTTAAGATTTGGGTTAAAATACTTAAGTGAAGAAAAAAGAAATAACAAATATGGTAAAATCTTAATAATTTTGCACCTAAGTGATGGACATACTACTGTACTGCTCCTTTCTCTTTTGTGTTTATTTGAAAATGTTCATAATAAAAACAATGAACTGAGAAATGATTTTCTCATAAGAGCTGGGATCATGGTCAGTTGCTTTTCCTATGGAAAAGAAGCAATAATGATGAAACCCAGGAAATTTAATTAATTAAGCATATAAAAATACAGGGACAACCAAGATAATTACATACTACAATGGTTTGCTGAAAGCTGACTGAGGAAAGTTTGAAATTAGATGAGATAAAATAAAAGGAATGGAAAATAACAAGTACAGAATTGTTTATTATAATTATTATTACTATATCTAAGTCAATAGCAATTATTTGTATTATGTATCTTTCTTAGAAGTGGCACAGAGAAAGACAATTTGGGAAGGTCTTAATACATTCAACACTGTTTCAACCAAACATCACATAGGCATGGGCAGAGATGAAATACGATAGTGTTTCTATAAATAAGTACAGGGGAAGCTAATGTTTATAATGCTGTATCTAATTCAATAACTGTCCGCTGTACAACAGGATGAAAAGCTTTTTTTATTCAAATATGACCTCTTGGATTATTAATGATAGTTTGGGATTAAGTAGCTTTAAATGAAAACATAATCAGATAAGTTTTATCTGTATAGTAAAGATTTGGGACAATGTCTAAATTAAACAGAGTCAGGACTAAAGAAGATGGAGGAGCTAGGAAAATGAGAAAGAATAGTTTAAAATGTACCAGACCTTTGGTCCTGGAAAGCCTGGTGGCCCAGGAGGGCCTTCTAGACCAATTCTCCCGGGGATCCCAGTTGCTCCTGGAGGTCCTGGGACTCCTGGAAAACCTGTAAAATGAGAAAGAGAATAGATTTTAAGAAATATATTTAAATTCTCCAACCCACATTCTCACCTTACCCTATCATTCTTAGTGACTATAGTAAGATATTAAAAGAGCAATGACATTTTGTATGACTACTTAGGATCAAGCCTTATAGCTAGTATTCTCTCTCAATCATCTTGAGCCTCTTATATTTACTTAGAAGTAATGTCTGTCTTCTGAACAAAAAGGACCATTACAATAATAAATCAGAAATAAGCATAAGGCATGAATTCCACACAAAAAACACGTGACAACTTATCTTCTGCTTACGGTTGGTTATAGTGTGTAAGATGATTAAGCTTGATTGTCAATTTGATTGTCTCAGGAGTTACCCAAGGGATCAGTGGAGGACATTTTTGGGAGTGGCTGGCTGGGTCATGGAAGCATGACTTTGGTATTATACCTGGTACCTGTCTCCTTCCTCTCTGATGGTGTTCCTTTGATCTGCTTCTCAGCTGCCACGAACTAAGCACCTTTGCTATGCCACACCTTCTGCGATGATGTTTCAGCTTTGTTGCCAGCCAATGATGTACTAAGTACCCTGAAACTGTGAGCTAAATTAAACTTTCCCTCCTTTTAATTGTGGGTGTCATGTATTGTGTCTCAACAATAGGAAAGCTGACTAATGCAGAGTGATGAAACACCTACTCTGTACTTCTGGAAATGAGCTAAAAGCAACTGTAGATATTACATACATATAAAATCAAACCTGAGCCTTTTCTGTGGTACTGAGGATTGATCTCAGGACCTTCATACTAAGCTACATCCCTAGCCCCTTCATGAAGTTGCCCAGACAACTTAAATTGGGGATTCTTCTTCCTCAGCTTCCCAGAGAGCTGGGATTACCAGCTTGGTGATGCACCACCATGCCTGGCCAAATCTGCTATTTTTGAGAGCATCTGGCATAAATGAGTGAGGACAGGTTTAAGTACTCTCCTTACACAAATATCACCCATGCCATTTATGAGAAAAAATTCTGGAGAAATAAAACAGAACTGAAGCAAAAACGCTATAAAATTTGAATAAATTAAGAATATTTTTACTTAGAATAAAACATTGGATATAGGTATACAGTTAGCCTGTTTTCTGTTTATTACAATCCATTAATTCACAAATATCTGTGGAGTGCTGTGTACCAGAAACTGTGCCAAGTCTGAGAACACAAAAATTCAGTACTTCCCATGAAGTATTTTTATCTTATAAATGAACGTTGCAAATCTACAATAGACATATTTCTATGATGGGACTGTTTTACATAAAGATCATTAATTTAAAGTACATACATTTATGAATTTTCATTTAAACTATTTATAGCACTCAGAAAAAAAAGGTATAATTAACACGTCTTTAATGAACTAATACTGTTTTACTAATCAGCTAACCTATTACCCACTCCCCAGTCCAACATACCTTTGGGACCTGGTGGTCCAGGAAGCCCAATCCCAGGAATACCTGCTTCTCCTTTGCTACCAGGTATTCCTGGCAAACCCGGTTGGCCTGGGAGCCCAAGATCACCTATGAAAAAACAGTTTTCAAACAAAAGTCTTTCAAAGAAAGAACCCAACAAGTGGTGAAGATGTTTTGAAATACATTTCTCACATACCTGGAAGACCTACTTCACCATCTCTACCTGGGTTGCCAGGCAGCCCAGGCTTCCCTGGCTGTGTTATGGTCTGACCTGGATCACCTTTAGGACCTGTGAACCAGTGGTAAGTGCACAATGTTTACTTGATTAAAGATCTCTTTTCATTCAAAACAAAAAAGGGAATCATCAAACATCCTTTGAAAATTCGGAATAATAAAATTCCGTAAGAAAAACAATCTCACACTATATATTCCAGGAAGAGAATCAAAGAGAATGGTGAAATTTAAAAGCGAAAAGTAGATTATAGGTTTCATAGCTTCCATGATTGTGGATAGGTGATGGTTTCAGACGTCAACTTGACTGGATTAAGGGACATCCAGATAGTTGATAAAATAGTGTTTCTGGGTATGTCTGTGGTGGTGGTAGTAGAAGAGATAGTCATTTGAATCAATGGACCAAGTAAGGAAGATCTGTCCTCACCCAATGTGACCCAACATTATCCAAAAACTGAGAGCCTGAATAGAACAAAAAAGGTAGAAAAGAGGCAAATTTGCTCTCTCCCTCAAAGATGGGACATCTATCTCCTGCTCTTGAACACCAGAACACCAGTTTTTCTACCCTTCAAACTCTAGAATTTGCACCAGCATCCTCCCAGGAGGCCTTTAGACATGGAATGAGTCATGAATTGGCTTTCCAGTTTGCAGAAAATCTATCATGTGATCACTTAGCCTCCAGAGTCACATGAGCCAATTCCCCTAATAAACCACCTCTCATCTGTCTATCTATCTATCTATCTATCTGTCTATCTACTTATTCACCTACCATATTGGTGCTCTTTCTCTAGAGAGCCCTAATATAAGACAGTATCTATGAAAATATCTTTTTAAATCTAGGGAAAAGGAGCCTTAAACAAATCAAACTATAGTAAACAAGGAAAATATTCTTTATGGTTAATTAGTGACAACTAAGGTTTTATGCATGTGAAGTCCACTTGTCATTAGTAGAAAGAAGGGCTTGAAATGGGCTCAGGACAAAGATGAATTTCCTAAGCATTCCACAAAAAGCACTAACCATGAGTGAAAAGACTGATAAATTTGACTACATTGAAATAGATTTCTGCTCATTAAAGACACCATACAAATGCAAATGGAAAGCCATAGTAGATAGCATTTTTGCAAAATGAATAGCTAACAAAGAACTAATAATACACAGTATATAGAAAATGTCTTCAAATCAATAAGAAAAAGAAATATTCCAATAGAACAAATAGTAAATAAAAAAGGCACTTGAACAATCATTTCACAAAAGGAAATTCAAATGGCCAATAAACATGAAAAGGTGCTAAACTTTCATCAGATAAATGCAAAATTCATCTGCTGAAATCTATCACACTCAACATACTGGCAAAAATGTAAACATCAGACAATATGAAATGTCTCTGAGGATGTAGAACAACAAGAAATCTCCAACAATTCTTATGGTAGTATAAATTGGTGTAATTGCTCTGGATAAAATTGGGAATTCTCTCGTCAAGCTAAAGATGTACTTATAAACTGCTTCAAAAATGCTATTCTTAAATATATGCCCTAGCTCAGGGATTGGTAAGCTTTTCTTTTGAAGGACCAAACAGTAAGTAATTAAGGCTTTGTGGACCATATGGTCTCTGTAGTAGTCATTCAACTCTGTTGTTATTGCACAAAAACAACTCTAGACAATGGTGACTGGATATGCTCAAATGAAAATTTTATTTATAACAATAAGGGGTAAGCAGGATTTGGTCCATGGGCCAATATACACAATATATATTTTGGGGGGTTGTCAACCTCTAGCCTAGAGAAGAGTGAGCAAAGGAACACTAGAATAAATGACTATATATATATATATATATA